TCGAATTGTTTAAGTGATAGTTTTAAAAGTCAATAACTTGGAAACGGTTGGTTTGAGGTACATTGTGTGTATTTCGATTTTTGCTTAGAATTGAAGGAAGAATTGAAATATGCAGTAATAGAACCCCCTGTATTCAATTTAAAAAAAAATGAAACTTTTATGTGCCACGACTTTATGACCCACCCTGTATACTTAAATTTACTGATCGCTAATAGATATTTAGAAATCCTATAACTTTTGTATTTAACTTTTTGCGGTACCTCCTATATTTTACCTAATAATGAACCGTTTCCATACATAAAAGCGACCCTGTACATACAACATGGGCTTTTATGTATGGAAACTAATTTTTTAGTATCTAGTGTATTCTACATAGAATACACTAGATACTAAGACTTGAAATTAAATGTTAAAAAATCTTCTGCGGTTGTGTAATTTTTTGTTTAAAATTAATGGATAGGCATCAAATGTGACAATATTAGGAGTGAATGAGAAATATTTAGATAATTTTTGTACTGTCCACAAAACAGCCATAACATTTTAACGTTTGTATAGTATTGCGAATGCAAAAAATATACGAAGAACAAAATGAAGAATGAAACGGCATTTACGTTAAAAAGAGATATTTGGCTGTTTCTTTTTTTTAATAAAGATGAGTATTGTAAAAAGCCTACATAGATATATATTTTAGTTGGCCAAAAGACCTTTACATCATGTGCATATAAAACTTATTCAGTGGAATATTAAAAAAAAACGGCTCCTGAAGAACTAAAAGTATGTTTTTTAAGAGATGCAACGTTTAAGTAGCTGTTGTTAGAAAATATAATTGGTAACTAAGTTTTATATGCATTACATAATTTGGTCTCTTATGATAGGTAATATATAAGTAAGGAATTAATTTAATTTATTTTTATACACTTTTATTATGTATTTTCTAGAAGTTTTTTACTTTTTTCTATTTATTTTTATAGAAGATTGTAGGGCAGTTTGTAGTTTTTATAACTAAACAGAGTTTTGTAGACTTCGGCCATATCAGTAATCTTAATTTGTTCTTATATTAATCAATAATTATTTTATATTATGTATTTTTAGTTAACAATATAATTTGGTTGATATTAAATAATGTAATACTGTTGTACACATATGTATTGTACATAAACAACTGAACAAATAAACAACCTATGTTTACTTAGTTTGAGTTTTTATATTTCTTATATTAGGCACCCCAGGGAACATGTTCTGTCTAAGTGTGAGGCATAATTTAGCATTAGATTTCAACACAAAAAAATAAATTTGGCACTAAATGATAATAGGGAAATATCTTTTTTAAACAGAAAAAAAAACAAAAATAATTCGGATAAGGCTGGTTTTGTTGCAGTATGATGCATATTGGCTATGAAATGAAGAACGCTGTTATTTTATATGTAAATTTTTATGGAAAATGTAATCGATCGTCATTTCCTAGCCAACTGAACGCCGTTTTTTTCGATCATACGATATTTGCATCCTCGCTTAATTTATTAAATATACTAGTTCAATAAAATTAAGTAAGGATTTGAAAAGACAATTGTAACATTGACAATAAAAAGCAAATATAAATGAATAAGTCGGATTTTTCTGCAGTAACCTAATTTGTAGTGAATTTTATATAGGAACAAGCGACTTTTAATGCAGTTTGGGATTATGTTTATGTGGATTTTATATGTGTATATATGTATATACAGGGTCCGGCAATAGTGCGTCGGGCATCTGTAGCTCTTAGAATAAAAAACTTGAGTATTTTGTTTAAGTTCAAACTTAAAGTATGTACCAGGATATATTTTAGGAAAATATTTTAACTTCTATAGGGTGGCTCAAAAAAGTGAGTGGACCTTGATGATTTTTTTTTAAATGGAACGCCCTGTATATTATTGCATTTTTGGCTTCCTTTCAGATCACTTTACATAACCCTAAGATATGAATAAATAAATTTCGATTTGTTTCAGATATATTAAAAAATAAATCAAAAATATATATTTTTCAGCCCATTCTTAAAAAAATTATTAAAAATACAAGAACTGTTCTGAAATCAAAACTATATTAAGTACTTACTGTAGATGGTCTGTACTTACTTTGCTATAAATATGAAAATCGTAAATTATACAGGATGTTCAAAATTCTACAACAAACTTTCTAAAATATAAAATAATTTTTCTTTGTTTTTTTAAATGGAACACCCTGTATATTATTTTTTCAATAGACAGAGAATTAAAAAATGAACAATTTTTGTATTTAGAGTATTTCAAAATTTTTAACCGTTTCGCAGATATTTGCGGGTTTATATTTCATATGGCATTTTCCACAGTAAATTTTTATCAAAGCCACCCAATGATTTTTCTCTCGTATTTTACCTTTGAAAGCGCCATATAAAATAATACTGCGCGTATCTGCGAAACCGTTAAAAATTTTGAAATACTCTAAACACAAAAAATGTTTATTTTTTAACTCTCCATCTAATAAAAAAATAATATACAGGGTGTTCCATTTAAAATAACAAAGAAAATTTATTTTATATTTTAGAAAGTTTGGCGTAGAATATTGAACATCCTGTATGATTTACGATTACCATATTTATAGCAAAGTAAGAACAGACTATCTAAAGTAAATACCTAATATAGTTTTCATTTCAGAACAGTTCTTGTATTCTTAATAATTTTTTTAAGAAGGGCTGAAAAATATATATTTTTTATTTATTTATTAATATCTCTGAAACTATCGAAATATGTTTATTTATATCTTAGGGTCATGTAAAGTGATCTGAAAGGAAGCCAAAAATGCAATAATATACAGGGTGTTCCATTTAAAAGAAATCATCCAGGTCCACTCATACTTTTTTGAGCCACCCTATAGAAGTTAAAATATTTTCCTGAAATACATCTTGATGCATACTTTAGGTTTGCACTTAAACAAAATTCTCAAGTTTTTTATTCTAGGAGCTACAGATGCCCGACGCACTATTGCCGGACCCTGTATATTAGGGTGGAGCGACCATATAGGTGAGAATTTTTTTGTTTTCGAAAATTAAGTTTCCTGACCGGACAATAGCTGTGATATGAAAAAATAAGGCGTCACGTATTTTTGTTTTGTTTTTTTAATTTCCCCCTCCACCGCCACAGTCAACTTAAAAATTACAGATTTTTTTTTGTTGAAAATGATCTCGCCTGAGTATGAGAAAGCTTTATTATGGAAATAGTAGTATTTTTTGTATATAAACTTTTTTCTACGACTCCCCCCTCCACCGCCACAGCCAATTTTAAAAAAATCGGATTGTTTTAAAATAATAATGCTTGAGTGTCCAATAGCTTTCTACTCAAAAAGGTATGTATTTTGAATGCACTATTTTTTTGTGATTATCTCCACGAGGCAAAGTAATAAAGGACGAATTTTTAAAAAAATATTTGTATTAAAGAAAAAACTAATTGAAAAATAAGACAAAACAAAATAAAATAATAACATAAGTTTAAAGAACAATTATTTGGTTTTAAAATTCTTTTTTGATTCAAATTTAGGCATCAATGTTCTTGAATTTATAGTTTGCTTCTTATGACTCCATCCCTCCTATCATAGCCGCAAACCGTAATGGATGCTTTAGTTACCACCTTTACTGCCCGTTCTACTGCTTGGGTATGACAAGAGAAATTCCTGATGTGCTAAAGATGAATCTTCTGGGTTTTCTATCACTTCTTTTATTAGTTCTACGGTCAGCTTTCTGGTTACAGAGGGTTCATTATAACGCAAACTTTGTCATTCAATTAAATCATAGTAGTCGTCAGCGTCAAATTTTAAACCGGATTATTAAAAAATCGAGAATTCTTCTCAGAATGGTACCAAATTCTGATCAGGATTTGACGTAGCTGCGTATAGGCGCAAAATTCTGTTTACTGTAGTCAACCACCGAGAGTGCACTAATTTTCCAGAATCACGTTTTGGCAGCCCTTCAGAGCAATTTCCACTTCTTATTGAAACGCACATGTCATATAAATATCTTTGTTCTGTGCTTAATTCCATATTCGGTAACTCAAAGTCTATTTTGGAAAATTTTACAATGGGCAGTTTTTTACAGCTACTTAAAAGTAGGACCTCTAAATGCCCTGGGACCAGATGTTTGACCGTCAAGATGTAATAAAAGATGTCGCAACGGAAGCTCGTTAGCATGCAACATGCAAACAAACCATTGAAGAGGACGATCCAGTTTTCTTTCTAATCTGGTTATTATATGCTAATATACTTGAAAAAGATCCAGAAGTATATGTGACCAATATATTTTGATCTGGGTTCTTCTACCAACACAACATGTTCTTCTACTATTGCCCTTTTTCTGTTATCTGTAAAAGTGGGCTTCTTGTCTTTTCGCCCATAAAAGTCGGTCCTAAAGGTCATTATATTTTATAGGTAATGGCACAAACTATTTTGAAATAAAAAGTATACTATTTTACGGGCAAAAACGCAATAAGTTTTAAAGTGAAAGAAAAACGTATTATTTATTTATTTATTTTTACACTACCTGAGCTTGCAAAATACTTGTCTTACTAAAACAAACATTTTTTGTAAATGATTTTTCTTCGTTAATGTTTATTTTTCACCACCACAGCGCGAAAATGTGAAAAATAAAAGTGAAGGGGTTGGGGCGGTGGAAGGGGGTGTCGAAAAATTTCCGTTTTAATTTTTAAATGATTATTTTAAAGTTCTCCGTACTTTACAGAGTCAGGCGTACTGAATATATAAAATTCATTTTTTCGCTCCACCCTACTGTATATGTATATGGATAAGGCGGGTTTTGCCCCTCATTTACTTTCTCAATAAATGGGAGTCATGTATACCTATAGTAAAGGAAATTTAATTGATAATAATTACAGCGAAATTAATTGTGAAATTGGGTTGTGTAGGCCGTAAAGCAATGCTTATCAACCAAAAGCCGATGTTTCGAGATAGTTATGCAGTTACGCCAAAAAAAGTCAAAGTATTGAAAATAGTTTAATATAATTAACAGATACAGCAGGTTAAAGGCGTCTTTTTAATATTGAAGTAAATAATTATGGACATGGACATTCCATGGTTCTTAGTTATTCAGATATTCGTGACGCCATATTTTAAATTGTTGTAAAAGTAAACCCTTGGACAGTTTAATTAATATCTAAGTACAAAAATTAGACAAATAATAATATGTAATAGTTGACAAAAGCATAATAAATAGTACAGCTGAACAATATTAGTCAGAATTGGTGACAGTACGAGATTCAAATCCGTTCTTGTTTCTGATCGCACTGGAGTGAAAGGCCTTTAGTTGCTGAACTTTGATCTGCGGTACGGATAGTACAGTTTTGGGGGTTTGTTCTGGTTGGGGTGTAGCTAGTTGTTTCGCCCATTTGTCCTATAAAAAATGAGATAATAAACATATAAATATCGTTATTAAAAATAATATTTATATAGTAAATTTTCAACAGAGATTATTATTACTGAACAAAAGTTTAATGCAAAAACATGTATGTACTCTTCAAATTTGAATTCGTTTTTTTTAATATTTGTTTATTTGGTATCTGGAAGCGTTTCCAAGTGCGTAAATACATAATTTTTAGTTTTTCAAACTTTAGAATAGCTGAAACCAGTTACCTGAAAACACTTTTCTGCTTGAAGTTTTCAAGAAAGAGAAAAACCTCTGTCTGCCCTTTCTAGATATCTTTGTTAGTAGAAATGGGGGATCTTCTGTATACAGAAAACACAAACGGGACAATATTTAATGTCCTAACCAAACTCTGAAGCAACTAAGAATGGAATAGTTAAAACTTTATATTGTCATCGAACAAATAATACCATATGCATCGTCCAAGCATCACTTAATTTTGAATTAAATAATATTAAAATGGATTTGCTTCAGAATGGTTAATCTGAAAAGTCCGTAGACAAAACTATATCAAATTGTAGCATTTTATTTAAATTACACATAATTTATATAAATGTACACAATTATTTTATTTAAATAAATCAAGTTTAAGTCCTCGCACCGAGATGGCATTCTGCAAGTACTGCTATTGTCTTTTTTTTTCTCCAAGTTTATTTCTGGCGAAATATTTCAGTCCGGTCGAAGTTTGTTGGTCACTTTATATCTGACGGTGTATACTACACTTCGTGCCTCCCTTCCCTCGCCGTATTGGCGGTAAAGGCTCAAACCGATAGAGCTATCGGCGGTTGTTGGCATTTTGCCAATTTGTTTGAGAAAACCCTCTGAGCAGAGGTAAGACTTTTATTTTTAACGTAACGTTTCCTAATACTTCTTTTTTTTGTACAGGGTTTTATTTTAGGGTACGCATTTGGTTTAATGGTAGCATTTTCTGGTGCCATTTTGTTTTTTGTACCTGACATTTGGGCCACGTTTTGTCCCTACAATTCACACCGGGAATAACGGAAGAATCTCCTGATTCCACAGCAGTTTAGGATCCTGTCTGTGTAGAGACGTTTTTATCACAATCCAGTTCCAGTAGCAGATCACCACAACCAGCTTGTGACCAGAACGGATAAAAAAAGGCCAGATCATTTCTTTTTATACAATTTAAATTCACTTGAATGCATTAAGCCCTTCAGGTATATTATATATTTGATTACTTTAGAGTCACTTTGAAATATTTTATTCATGTTATGCATATTTCTGATATCTACATAGTAAGGTTTTTTTTAATATAAAGAGGCCCTATATTTTGGTACCAAGATCGCCAGACTTTTTGCGGAATAATTAATAAAATATTAATATTCAGAAGCGTGCAGATTTAACTAACATCTTGAGTGATCTATTTTGATACATACTATTTACCAACAAACATTTTCAAACATCAAATTTTTCATAGTCTTATTTTATTCTAATTAACATTTAATTATTAATTATACTTAGTTATTAGTTTATCTCAGCGTTTCATTTCTGTAATTCCTAAAATAAGTAATAATAAGAATAAACAAAAGAAAGAGTGATCTATCAGATACCTTGTGAATACGGTGAGTCGTATATTGGAGAGACTAAACGTCCTCTAAATGTACGACTTAGCAAACACAAAAAACATGTACATAAAGATGAAACAATGAAGTCAGGTATTTTGGATCATATTTGGTCAAAACAGCTCAATATAAAGTGGTCAGAAGCCCAGGTTGTCCACAGGGAATCTCATTGGAAAAAGCGTAAATATAAGGAGGCCGTTTTTATTGCAAACAACAAGCAACATATTTAGCATTTCTAGTACGGAAATATCGATGATATGGCAACCACTGATAGAACGCACCTATGCAGGCGTTCTAAGTGGATAACCTCACGGTTGACTGCACTCAACTTCTTCACCGGTTAATGCCTGGCTGTAATATAAGTCAACCATAACAAGTGGCCGTTCTTTGCCGGAAACACTGCGACCTACGCAGCCTATTAACGGTCATTTTCTTTAACGGTCAGTGATACTTCTGACCGAAACGTTGTGTTAATCAAAAATAAATAAAGACAATGGACAAGTTCAAAATTTTTTTAGTTCGGACTTCTTTCGCCAAAAACTTCTTGCTGAAATATATCAATCCCATTTATTGATAAAATATTGTAAAAAACATATTGAAAAGCACTCGGCAATTGGAATTCGTAAACAGGTGCGTTTTAGCTTACAGCGTGTTTTGATTGCTTTGATTTTTAAACGGTTTTATTTAGCTCGACCCGTACGGTATTTATTTATTTGTTTGTTTATTTGGGTCAAAATTAGAAATTGAAATTTAAGTACCTTCCTGTTGTCAGATTGATCTGAAATTTGGTCCACACCTTTAGTTCCGATGACAATACAATATAGTAATATCAATAACATTGTAACTCTAAGATGGCCGCCGGTACAAAATGGCGGATTTTCTATTTTTCCACAACCCCCTCAATATGGATATCAAATGAAAGGGCTACACTAGTAGAATACTGTGATTATGACAAAATTTAAAATCCAAGATGGACGTCGTTACAAAATGGCGTATTAGGTGAGGGCATGAGTAGTCGTGTCCAGAACAGTTGTGACCAAGATTATGTGACGTTAGAAGGACAGATAAAAAAAAAATAGGTGATTAGATGTACCTACGTAGTTAGCGGTAGCTTTACCACCCAAGTTAAGGTAATAGGTTAAAACGTGCTGAGGACTGTATGGCATTAGGGTGGCTAAAATGTAATGTCGCAAGCGTTTTCCCCTCAAAATTGGGCGCCTCTTGTTGTATATTATAGCCTTGCCCCTCTACTGGACCTCTGGGGGGGGGTCGACCGTTAAAATGTCCATTACTCGTGGGAACAACATGGAAACAATAAATAAAAAACAAACACAAATAAAAACGAAACTACTACACAACGAAAAAGAAGGCTCGAAAAGGCGAAAGAAAAGTATAGAACGAAACGTGCAAAAGAAAGTGAAAATGAAACCTATAGTCAACTACAGAAACGAAGAGAACGGTTAGCAACAGAAACACCTGAGCAATATGATGCCAGGTTAATAGCACAACGTGAGAGACAAAGGCAGCTGGTAGAGTCAGAAACATTTGAGTGTCATGAGTCCAGGCTAGCATCACAACGTGATAGACGGAAAGAGTTGTTAGCGGCAGAAACACCTGAGCGTCATGAGTCTAGGCTGGCATCACAACGAGAGAGACAAAGAGAGTTGTTAGCGTCAGAAACACCTGAGCGTCATGAGTCTAGGCTAGCATTAGAACGCGAGAGACAGAGAGAGTTGTTAGCGTCAGAAACACCTGACCGTCAGATTGTAATAAACTATCAGGTAAAAAACCATGTAATAATGATGCACTAAATGAATTAAATAGAATGAGGAATATTCGGTAGGCATTTCCGTTAAATACTAAAAACTAGAAAATAAAAAAATCGGTAAAAAACTTTTAAGTTAAACGGTTTTATCTTATGTGCACTGTAAACTAGAAAATAATAATAACAATTAGGTATTTTGAACTTCTAGTTCAGAAATAATTTTAGTACTAGGCAGAATAGCTTTTAGGCATATTAGACTAAAATAAAAACGTGGGGCCCATTAACTATTGCTGTAATACTTTCTTCTATACTAAGTGTGGATTGCATCGACTTACTATAATCGTAACTGGAGATTTTGACAATCAATAACCAGCCGTGGCGGCTTCACCAGCGAACGCCGAGCTCATGATCTACCAAAGTATAAAGATATGCTTTGCCATAGGTAGGATTTCAGAGGGGCCCCACGTTTTTATTTTAGTCTAATATGCCTAAAAGCTATTCTGCCTAGTACTAAAATATTTCTGAACTAGAAGTTCAAAATACCTAATTGTTATTATTATTTTCTAGTTTTCAGTGCACATAAGATAAAACCGTTTAACTTAAAAGTTTTTTTACCGATTTTTTTTTGTTGGTTCGTTTTTGTTTACTTTAAATTATAGTATCTACTAGGTTAGTTTATACCTACACAAGCAAAGCGTTTAGAATGTAAAGCAGGAACAATATAATGTTTTCATGTAACTGATTTCAGTTATTCTAAGGTAAAAAAATGTTTTATTAATGTCAATTTATTCCACTAATTGCGAGGTTCAGAATGACCTTACGCGTGCGTGACATGACCTCTGTCAATTGCGGCAGATGGAGGAGGTCCAAACCTGATTTATTTGAAAATTAATTTTATAACTTTTTTCCTGCCATTTTCCGACATTTTAATTGTTATTCTGCTATTTGGCAAGGAACAAAAAACAAACAAATTAGAGATTAAAATCGACCCAGCCGTTCTCTTGAGATACAAATAATGATGTAACTTGAAGTTTTTTTTAAAGTTTACTTTATTTATTTAGATTAGAAGATTAATGTCTTACCAATACGTCAATAAGTTGAAGATTTAGTTGCTTTAATAACAGTGTTGCTGAATGTGCGTGGGATCTGATGGTTGTAGTTGTAGTTTGTTTAACCTTTTCCATGTGAGCAGTCTAAAATTAATAAGAACAAAAAATGAGTTAAGTAAAGAATAACAAAATTAAAAAAAAAGTTTTATAGGATCGCTAGATAAACAGCAATGCACTGTTGGCAACGTATGAAAAATAATTAGGATAGACACATACTAAACAAATTAGTAAATTAACAGATATTTTTAATTAGCGAAAAACCTTATGCTCGATGTTTGCTGTTGTTATTTATGTTATACGATTTTATTAAGATGTATTTTTATTTTAATTTCTTCTAACAATCGGCACAGCATTAGTTCCGGATAACTTATATTTAATTATAAATATTTATAAAATTAAGATAAAGTAATATTTTTATATAATAGAACAATGTAGAGCTTAAAACGCACTGACGGCCAGGTCGCAGCGATTTTTTACGTTTACTACAACCAATTAGTAAATATTGTTTTCAGAAATATAAAAATATCCCAGTTAACTAAAAAGCGAAGTTCCTATTATGAGCTTATTAAATGTTCTAAATTAAATAATACATTTAAAATATTAATGGTAATTACAGTAGGGTAATTAGTATAGTTTTCACACATTGTAGAGGAAAAAAAGATTATACATTGCAGAAAAAAAGAAACTTTAAATATGTTTTTTTTTACCATCGAAACTCGAAAGTATAATAACAGGTATCATACCAACCATAAATAGAGTATATCATATAAAAATATTTTGATTTTTTACTAGAATCGACCCTTCATAAAAAAGACTAGATTTAAGTTTCCCGTTGATCTAATCTGTATACTATTTCTTTGGTTTTTCTGCACGTGTGCAAAAACTACACTAAAACACTATATCTTTTAGAAAATTTTGTGGTGAATTTAAGGGATATTATCTGAGAAATTATTAATTTGGAAGAAAAGCGGCAACAAGCTGCAGAAAATAATAATATTTTAGTGCAGTCTACTGGTCGCAGCGACCAACCAACGAACGGCGGTTGTTAGTACGCGTTGTATAGTCTGTGAAACGAATAACTTTGAATTTGACAGTTCCCGCGGGCTTTTCTAGTGTTAATTTTATTAAGTTAGCAACTTGCGGCCATGCCGACGCAATGCTGTCTCTAATAGAACAGCCTCGGAGCAAGATTTATGACGTCACGCTAGTTAGATACTGCAGATTAATAAATATGTTGTAGAATAATACAAAAAACATAATTATTCCTCGTATTTTTGGTTTGTATTTTAAAATTATATAGTTTACATGAAATATACATAATATACAGTTAATAAATACAATATATAGGAAAATTGGAATAATTTCCGTTGCACGTCATCAATGACACCATGCGTCGTCTTATGGAGTTTGCTGGTGGTCGTATTATGATGTGCAACGGAAGTTATTTTAATTTCCCTATATTTCCCTATTTATAGTAATAAATAATTTGGTAAATAAACTATAAACCATACAAATGCAGCAAATGTTTTACAATATGGCTGAAATCGTACTCCATAGTCAATGTAGATAGTTTTAGTGTCAGAATAATAATTTTAAAAAATATGTGGTCATCTTTTGACAAGTTTATATTAGTTTATTAATTGCAGTAAATATTATGTGGTGTGTGGTGTGAATATTTGATATGTATTTTTTTGGATTATATTCGACACTATTTTTTTCATATGACACAACACTGATGAAGGCTATAATGTTAGCCGAAACGTTTTTTTAACCAAATAAAAATAATGAAAAACCAAATGAAAACTCAATCAGCGTTTTTCCCGAACCTAAATCCCAAGAAAATAAAAAATTTTAGAATAATTTTACATATAAAATGATAGCGATCTTTATTTCGTAGCCATCGCTGACGCCTTTTTTTCTATGATATTGTATTATTTGCAAATACATCACTATTAGTAGATATTGAATGTTTTTTGTTAAATTAGATCGATTTTCAAACCCCAAAATTTAAAATATATTTAACATTTTACCCATTGTCTTATGTACTTATTCATTATTTGTATATTGTAAAATATTTGCTGAATTTGTATGGTTCATAGTTTATTTGCCAAAGTATTTACTACTGTCAATAGGTACATATATTGTATTTATTAACTGTATATTATGTATATTTCATGTAACACATACATATTTATTAATCCGTATTATCTAACTAGCGTGACGTCATAAATCTCGCACCGAGGCTGTTCTATTAGAGACGGCATTGGTCTGATATTTAGAAATGTCAAAACCTGATGACATTTTACTTTTGACAAATATGACATTTCGTGTTGATTTTTGCAAGAAGAGGAAGAACTGTCACTTGTTATATTATTTTCCTTTTCTATTTCACGCAAGTAAAAAGAGTTACCTATCTGATTCGTTCAGGCACTCAATTTAAATAATATCAGTAACTTTTTTGATAGAGGGATTTTATATTTGCCATGTTGGTAAAAAATAACGGTCAAAATTCAAAGTTATTCATTTTATAGACTATATCATTAGATTTAATGGTATTACAGGTAGCAGAAAACTGGTCGATTTTATTTTTACAAAATTGACCATAATCTATGTATAAGTTCATTACATAAGAATGCAAAACATAAAGGCTCACTAAAATAATCAGTGCTGTCACGATCTCCTACAATTCAGCATTTTTACGATTTTAAAATATATGACATTAATGTCTAGAACTATTGGAAAATACAATCCCTAACTACCTATTCCTGACTATACATCTAGTAAACTAAACAATAACTTGTTGAAAATCTTTTAGTAAAAGTTCGTTACCTTGACAATTGAATCGACACCTCCTAGAAATTTGCCGGCCAGGCCTAGAACCGAATGAACAACATTCCTGTTAATCACGGTGACCACTGTGGCGGTGAAATTGACTAGATGGACAACGCGCCTTGCTGATTCCCTGGTCAGCAATACGATCAACTGTTCTACGTTTTCCGGGCGGGCTTGGTTCTCTGGCTCGTCCTTGCTCAAGCTGGCCCATAGTTCTTTTCCTTTTTGAAAAGCTAAAACGGGATCAGTAGCCACCTGTAATAAAAACAAATATTGAGATCGTAAAAATTAAGGAACAGTGGAGAAGAATTGTAAACTCAGTTAAAACCGACAACCAAAAAGTAAAGAGGCAACACAGCAATAAGATTTTTGAATGTCCGAAGTGCGGTAGGCAGAAAACATCACGTATCGGGCTTTTCAGTCACAGAAAAGCTCATGAAAGAAAACGCCTTGCATGACCGTCTTCTGATGCGTGTTAAATACTCGTCAGCGAGTAATGGCAGTATGTATGTTGTATGTTCGCTCGGGGGAAACATGAAGGCACCTTGTGTGATATTATCCAAAGAGGACTCCGTATCACTGAGAGATGGTGTAGGACTGTCGGGCTGAGTATCAACTCAGACAAAACCGCGATAGTGCCATTCACCAGAAGGCGAAGTCAGAAAAACTTGAAAAGAATCCAACTAGATGGAAAGAAAATACTGCAACACAGGAAGTTAAATACCTGGGAATAACCCTGGACAGTAAACTCCTGTGGAACAGGCATATTAAGAACACTACCAGCAAAGCCATAAAGGCTCTCATGATATGCAGAAGACTGGCCGGAAATAGATGGGGCTGCTCCCCTAACATTTTGCGCTGGATGTATACCATGATAGTAAGACCCATGATTACTTATGGAGCAGTTGCCTGGTACACAAAACTAGAGCAACGGACGGCAAGGCTAAACCTATGCATAGTCCAGAGACTAGCATGTGTTTGCATCACAGGAGCCATGAGAACCTGTCCAACAGCAGCAATGGAGGTCATTCTAGATCTAACACCACTGCACATTGTCATTGGTAGATATGCCAATGCGACAATGATTAGAATGGTCACTAACGGAATTAGTACTGGGAGAATTGTCAGATCAGGGGCTTGGAACACCCTCAAAAAGGAAATACCACTCCTGCAACTCCCAGTGGACGATATGCCAAGAACGTACAACTTTGACAAACATGTCAATGTAGTATTAAATAATATCAGAACTCAAGAACTTGGAATAAGAAGGATTGGAAGAGCGAAACGCTTGCCCAGCAAAAGCAGTTAAAAGACCATACCATAACTTGGTATACTGATGCTTCCAAAACCAATACGGGAACAGGGATCGGAGTGTTTGGGCCGAGAGCTAATTACTCCGAACCAATGGGCACTTACCCTAGTATCCTACAGGCAGAAATCTACGCTATCGAGAGATGCGTACAACTTATCTTAGATAGGAACTATCGGAAACAAGAAATTGCCATCTTATCTGATAGTCAAGCAGCGTTAAAGGCGATCAACTCAGTATCAATCAATTCGAAATTGGTCAAAGAATGCATAGAGAAGCTGAATAAATTAGGCAAAGAAAACAAAGTCCTCCTACACTGGGTGCCTGCTCACCAAGGGATAGAAGGCAATGAAAAAGCAAATAATCTAGCTAGGAAAGGAGCGAACACTCCACTAACTGGATCAGAACCGTTCTGCTTTCCAAGTGGTAACCAACTCAAGGCGGAACTCAAGAACTTGGAAGATTCCATCCGCAACCTGGAATGGAAATCTTGCAATGGTCTAAGACACTCGAAGAAGTTTCTGAGGGCTTATGATCAAGAAAAATCACAGATCTTCCTGGGTCTGAGTAAGAACAATCTTCGGATTGTCACGGGGTTTTTAACAGGACACTGTCTCCTCAATGAACACCTCAATAGATTGAAACTAAGAAGAAACGGCGAATGCAGATTCTGTGGGGAAGATGGTGAAACACCAGTACACCTCATCACTGAGTGCGCCGAGACGACAACCATTCGTGCCATGAACTTTGGTACCACTGATATTGGAGATGGAGAACTACCCTCTATAAAACCGTCCCAGATACTGGCTTTTGTCAAAGCCCTGGGACTGTATGATGAGTTATAATTCAAGAAAGGGGGACACAATGGATATGTAAGGTCGAAGTGATTAACCCCCCTCCCACTCATTCTAAATTCATTCTAAAAAAATGTTGTATGTTACCTGACCCCTGAGAGCGGCCCGAAAGTACAGCGTAATAGACTCTTAATATTTGACATTGGTTTTCAAAACAATAGGCTTTAATTAATTTTAATTTTTAGGTTATGTGTTAATTAATTATTATCTATATATAAAAACGGTAATTTCAGACGTAAAACATAATTGTTTTTTTTTCTTAAAGAGAGGATTCTAAATAAACTAAAAATATATGTATAATTAATTTCAATCCCATGTAAAGTGATTAAAAAGAAATCCAAAAATGCAATAATATACAGAATTTTATATTTGAGAAAATCATGCCGACTCTACAAAAGTTAATACATTTTCCTGGAATACTATATTCTAATGCAAACTTTAGGTATACGCTTAAACAAAATTCCTAGAAAAATTTATGTGACCTATAGATGCCCGATGCACTGCTATAGGAAACTGTATAATATGGTGTAAGTAAATCTTACCAACTCAGCAACATATATCAGCACATTAACAGCTTCAGCACTGTGTTCCTTCAAGGCTTTCACTTCTGCCAAAGTTCTCTTCGTCAATCGTCTTTTCAGTTTTCTGCCAAGTCTGTCCGCATGCTGAATGGTGTAGATTGCCTTTCCAGCCGGACCATCTACTGCAGGTTTGTCCACTTCTTCTATGCAAAATGGGAAACATAAGAATCGAGGGCAAATAACGACAAAAAAATACAAACGTTTATAATTCAAAAACAATCTAAAACATATTAAAAACTTGGCTATTTGTTATTGCTTTTATATTATATCGTTTCTAACTTTATCATATAATAATATCATCTCCCTTTATTATAAAAGATTGTTCTCGAAAATCAAAAGATAATAACACCTTACTTACAGTGTCAATTACTAGACACAAGAACCACTACTTGATATCATCAACAAGAATAGACTTATTATTAAATCTTCTCTTTTATATCTAGGCGAAAAAATTACTTTTTTATATTATCAATCACTTTGTTGGAAACTAGTTTGGGAAATAATGTAGGAGACAATCTGCATATAATAATAACTAGCGTGTACCAGCGACTTCGTTCGCGTCAAATTAATGATTTGTAATGGTGATGATAAAGCAAAGCAAGCATTTTCATTAACATACAAACTGGATAAAATTTTCTCACATTTATGTCAGCATGAGAAAAAACAATATGGCGATATTATTATATAACTTGGTAATATTTGAGGGGTAGTTTCATCTCGTTGGAATTTGACTTTCGAAAAATCCTTTTGCCAAAAATAAGCTTTTTACGCCAAGCAGTTTAAGCAGAATCGAAGAAATTACCCAACTAAGAACTAACCAATTCCAACTAATAAGAAATTACCCAACTTTTTGGAACACCCTGTATGATTTTTTAAAAAATTTTAAAAAATGTAAAAAAAACAAATAAATTATGCTTGTCCAAGCGTTTTCCCGAAAGACTAACCGTTTTTTAAATAACAAATATTGTAATATTTGAGGGGCGTTTTCACCCTCTTGGAATTTGAGATTCGAAAAACCCCTCCTTATCGAACCTCTACACCCCACAGTCAATCCGTTTGCCAAAAATCAGATTTAAACGTCAAGCAGTTTAAGCAGAATCGTGATTACTCAATGGTCATATTTTATGAAACACCCTGTATAAATTTATAAAAAATCTTAAAATATGTAAAACAACAAAATAAAATACACGTGTTTAAGAGTTTTTCCGAAAAACTCACCGGTTTTTAAATAAAAAATATTTTAATATTTGAGGGATAGTTTCAGCCCCTTAGAATTCGAGTTTTGAAAAATCCCTTCTTATCGAACCTCTACACCCTAAAGTCGATCTGTTTTCCAAAAATCAGCTTTTTACGTCAAGCGCTTTAAGCAGGATCGTGATTAATCAATGACCAGATTTTTCGAAACACCCAGTATACATTTTTAAATATCTTAAAATATGTAAAAAAACAAAATAAAATGTGTTTAAGCGTTTTTTCGGAAACTTGACCGTTTTTTGAAATAAAAAATATTGTAATATTTGAGGGGTGGTTTCACCCTCTTGGAATTGGAATTTCGAAAAATCACTTCTTATCAAATCTCTGCACCCTAGAATCAACCCGTATACCAAAATTGAGCTTCTTACGTTGTGTGGTTTGAGCAGGATCGTGATTAATCAGTATGTCAGTCACTTAAGGATTTTATATATTAGTATAGATTATAAAATTACACTTATTTAAAACAAGCCTATGCTCACCATCGTATCCGGAATCCTGATCATCTACCGGTAAGTATTTGTCCACATATTTGTCAGCTACATTCAATGCTCCGTCCAAAGTGTTGGCAGCATAAGTTGTATACTTGCTGGCTAATACACTGTTACCAATTTGTTTCACCGAGTCAGCACGCTTTAGAACTGGCCTCACGATTTTAGTGTTTACTGTGTCTTTGGCGTATTGTTTTGTGTTCCAGTATATCTAGGAAAAAGTAATGAATATACTTAAAACAAGTACAGACATAATAATTTTACAAAAGCGCACTAATGAATATATTTTCCATTTTAATAAGTTGTCAAAATCAAATTTCGAACTGATATGGAAAAAAAAAAAGAAAATGGATTTAAAATACACACACCGGAAAAATCTAGGGATATCATTTTATTAAAGTTAAAAATAAATGTTTTGAATAAACAACCACATATTTGTAGGCCGGTTCTTTCTACTTCGGTTGAAACGAAGTAGTCACACTAGTTATTTCTAAACTTGGGATATTTGCAGAAGTGTTTGTGCATTTTTTGTCAAATGTATAAAAAGCATCTAGCATCAATTTTTCGAATTTAACCTGTACTGGCTATGTTTTTATGATAACTGGCCAGAATTCATTCAAATAACTCTGTTTAGTATTAAACGACATTATGGAGCGTAGACATCTTAACAGAGACGAAATGCTAAGGTCCATGGATATGCTCGAAGCTGGAATACGCCAAATCGACGTAGCTAGAGCATTAAATACAAACCAAAGTGTAATATCGCGATTAAGTGCACGCTACCGTTAAAGTGGTGATGTTGCTGAAAGGCACACAGGGCGACATCGCATTACTACCCCTCAGCAAGATCATTTTTTACAATTAAATGCTCGACGCCGACCGACTCTTACAGCACCAGAGTTTAGTTTAATTCTCCAGGAAACACATAATGTAACCGTTAGTCCTGACACTGTTCGCAATAGATTAAGAGAGGTCAACTTAAGAAGCAGACGCCCCTGGAGAGCTCAACCCTTAACGAGAGGAAATCGAGAGGTACGATATTTGTGGGCTCAAGATAATGTTCAGTGGTGGAATGAACAATGGGCCAATGTTCTCTTCACGGATGAGTGACGCTTTGGAATTCATCCGGATTCGAGAAGGCTTAGGGTATGGAGAGAACCGGGAAATCTTATTCGGTTGGATCATGTTCAGGAAGTGCACCCTTATCAAGGTGGAACAGTTATGGTCTGGGGAGGAGTCCAGTTAGGCCGAAAAACCGATCTCGATTTTCTTGAAAGGTTTCTAACAGGAATCACATATCGTGATTTTATTCTTGAGCCTCTCGTGTTACCATACGCCAATGATTTTGGGAGAAACTTCATTCTCATGCATGACAATGCACGGCCTCATACAGCCAGAGCGGTAAGTGAGTTTATCAATGCTCATCAATTAATCATCTTACCCTGGCCGGCACAATCTCCTGACTTCAACCCCATCGAGCACGTATGGGACGCGGTCCAAAGAAGAATTTTGAGAATGGGTATGCCTCGTGAAACTCGTAGGGCTCTGGTTCGAGCCGTGAATGCAGCGTGGCAGGCTGTACCTCAAGAAGAGATCGACAACCTGATCAGGAGCATGGAGAGACGATGTAGGGCTGTAATGAACAGTAGAGGGGGCCATACCCTTTATTAAGTAAAAATGGTTTTTTCTTTTTTTTTAATTCACAATTTAGAATAAAAAAAATGTGTGTTTTTTTTGAGTTCAATAAAAATCAAGGTAAATTTTAAAATTTCGCATTTTTATTTCCAATACGTCCTGTAAACTATTTGCTTATTTTAATTTTATTATATCAGAAATGCAAATAATAAAATTACTGACGATGGCTGGATAAAATTGTAATATCCCTAGACTTTTCCGGTGTGTGTATATTCTGGAAAAATATTCAGGGGGTGTAAAAAATAGAGTGCCAGCTGTGAGCGATTCTACGAGTTAAAAAAAAACAAATTTTCGTTTCTATGAACGTATGACCTAAAATGCTTCCTGAGTAAGTAAGTACAGTAATAAATACATTTTAGAAATGAATTCAATAAATAAATTTGAACAACTTACCATTTCAGGTGGAAGATTGATGGAAGGAATTTTCTGTTCAACCAGGTCTAATGTCTTGCAGACAATTTTATCCACTTGATTTAGCGGACCTTGAAAAAGAACAACTGCGGGAGCAGCAGAGTCCACCACAGAAAAGAAGGTATTTTCTGCTTGGGCCAGTGTCCAGTTTACCAAACCGTTTGAGTTCTAGGAAAATAAATTATAGTTTAAATTAAAAAAAGAGTAATGTTAATAGAGGATATAAATCGGGATTGATTGACGTTTTGTTTTACTTTCAGTCACTTTCTGTTTCACCGGAAATGACTACAACTTTTGATTTTTAAATGGTAGTCTCGATATTTTATGACATATCAACTGGCAACATTTGACATTTTCTTTTTGTTCACCCACACATGTTCTATGTGAAAAAAAAATAGTTATGATTAAAAATACGATTTAATTATCATTTAACAAGCCAGGGAAAGACAACGAACAAATTTATTTTTCCAAAGCTTCTGGACTAAAAATTAGTGGTTTTAACATAGCCATGGCACTCTAGAATAAAAATAAAAACACTATTTTTTAAGCGAAGATGTCCAAAGTTGACATATGATATGACATACTATACATAATGACATTTTCTATCAAATAAAATGAAAAAATTCTCAGGGTACCATGTGAAAGTAACTTAATACATCAATCAATCCTAATTTCTGTCGTTTAATACTAATTTACTACACTATACACTAACATACCAAATCTCGATTTTTTAACTGAAAAAAATAAAATAAGTTATAGGGGTGAGCCACTTTTGAGGCGCACCCGATATATGAAATGGCATTCGCAGGTTTAGGACCAGGAAAAAAAAACTTTTATTTAAAAAATTTCCGACGTTTCGACGTGTCTTCTTCAAGACTATTTTCAGTTAAAATGTTTTTGGGCAAAAGTAAGTAAGTAGCTTTTCCTGGTAGTACACTACTAGCTCTATTGATAGCTAGTCATCTATATTCCCTTGATCTTTATACCGTAATTGTACATTTTCAATTTTTAATTTTTGTATTATATGGGATTTTTTATATTCTTGTGTAGTGTTTATTAATGTTTTGCCCGTATAGACAAACTATTATGTATAGTGTTGTTGATTGTACCCATACTACCAGGATAAGCTATTAACTTTCTTTTGACAAAAAAAAACTTTTAGCTGAAAATAGCCTTGAAAAAAGACGAGAATACATTATACGATAGAAATTTTTTTATTTACTGAATAAATATATTATCAAAATATTATGCTTTTTAACTAAAAATTAATAAAAAAAATCAAAATATTATTTAGAAAATTTATATATTATAATTTAAATAACACAAACTTATAAAATTTCTTAATATTATAGTAAAATTTTCTTTCAAAATAGTAATGATTCAATTAATATTATAAAGTAAAATGCACTAAATATAATATATAAATACAGACGTCGTTTTTTAATAATTGATACGAATTAGTAAAATTTAAAAAAATAATAAATAAAATTTTAAAAATTTGCAAATTTAAATCTATAAAATTGTAAAAAAATCTTGAATATTTTTATTTGGTTACTTTTATTACACTATTGTCTCCAACATATCAAGAAAAGTTTGTTAAGTATTTTACGAAAGAAATGATATTAAGCTTACCTTAATTCGTTGGTACACATTTTCTGCATAGTTAATACTTGACTCCACGATGGGGAAGTTGGTTATACGGTTTACAGAAACTAATTCTGGCATGCTATTAATTCTTTGACTTCTTTGTACCACTGTAACAGAAATAATAACTGTAAAGTATCTATAAATACATATAAGTATAATGCCTGTAAATCTAATTTTGAGTTTTCTTCTCTTCTAATAGTATACGTTACAAGTAGTATTAAAAAAATGTAAAAAATATAAAATTTTAAAAGTTGACGATTCTATTCGTTATGTTATTATGATGGCGTAGTTATAAAAGTTAACTCCAGTTCTTAATCTAAGAAAAAAATTACACTAATTCTTACAGACGGAATGTTCTTCCATATAACTAAACATATATCCAGGAAAAACATCTATATTTTCGTTTCCCATGGCTAAAAAATTGTAAAGCAAACGTGACAAACTATACAGAAATAAATAAAATAAATCGCCGACACATTTAAATCGACTTTTGTTCAAAGTTTAATTGGGTAATGTTTAAATGCAAAACTGGTGTTGTTATTAATTTCAATTATATGTAACTCGTTATTTAAAAATAAAGTTTGTACTTATAAAAGTCGGTTCGTATAAGTAAAACTTGGTTGGGATAATTGTATGATATTCGTCTAATTTCGAAGTAATTGGTTTAATGAAAACGACAAATCAATAAGAATATATTTAGATCTTATGGTCGTAAAATATAGTTCCTGCATCTATAGAAGAACCTACTACTAATCTATTATATCATATTTTATACAAAATACCATCTGCAGCGCCAGAGACTTGATGTATAAGGAAAACTACTAACATAACTTACTTAATAAAATGTTTATAAATTTATAAATCTTCTATTTTAAATATTATTAATTCACATACAATTTTTGACTTTGGAATGAAACATTTAGAGATAATCGAGGATGTGTCATAGAGATATAAAGTAATATTGCTCAACTTCATTTAATATGATAACATGTAACATACATCATCACATAATTTTAGCTATTAATGTGAATTAAGAGTTATTTCATACAGCTGTTATCTGAAGTTCATATATAAATATGTGACATAAGTTATTGCAAATAATTAGCTAAATATTTATAAAAATAAATACATACATTATAATTCTTGTTTTTATAAATTTTCTCTAAACAAACTGTTTTGGGTCAAGAGCCAGCAAAATTGGCAGTTTTAGACTGACTGCTCAAAATCGCACTTTTTCTACTACCCTTTTATTTGCTATTAATGTCTTATGTACCCTAAAATTATATGAGGTAAATATTCATTCGCAAGAAGCTGAAGAGGATCATAAGTTTGCCTCATTAGTTAAATTAATTTATTAACAGTAGTGGGAAAATATATCAATTTTTTGGTTATTTTGAGATTCCCAATTGAATATGTAATAATACACGGAAAATGGTAGCAGAATCGTAGAATTTTCTCATTAGAGCAAGACAAAGGAATGCATCTCAAACACTGGCTGAACCTCATTTTGAAGCCGACAAAACTGTATCTGATCATAAACTGATTAAAGACTGAAAATTTTCTTAAATTCATATGGAAAAATAATGCAACTGCTTGAAACTAAATACTAATATTTTCAAAGATCACTTATACCAAAACGAGACTGCCGAAGCTGGAATTTTATTTCTCATAACTCCATGTACCGGGTGTGACTCTAACTTATTTATTTTTTCAGAAAAAAAAACGAAATTTGGTATGTTAGTATACGACATAAATTAAGATTAATAATTGACGCATTCAATTTTTTTTGGTTACTTCTTCTTTCACCGGAAATTACTACAACTTTTGATTTTTAAATGGCACCCTCGGTATATTTCTACTTTATGACATATGTCATCTTTTGATATTTTCGATTAAAAATACGATTTTTGCATATTTTGGACCGGCCAAGACAAGACACGAAAAACATTAGACAATCAAATCTATTTTTCCAAGGCTCGATCCTTGTTTTAAAAATTAGTGTTTTTAACAGAGCCATGGCACTCTAGATTGAAATTTAAAATATAATGTTTTTAGAATGAAAATGTCAAAAGTTGACATATGATATGTCATTCTACTCAGAGTGTCATTTTCTATGGAATGAAGTAAAAATATACCGAGGTGGCCATTTAAAAATCAAAAGTTTTAGTCATTTCCGATGAAACAGGGAGTGCTCCCCCCAAAAACAATTGAATAGTCAATCCTAATTTATGTCATATACTAACATACCAAATCTCGTTTTTTATGTAAAAAAATAAAAAAGTTATAGGGTTGAGGCAATTTCGAGACGCACCCGGTATACAAAAAACAACAACCGCAGACTAAGATTGAAAGAAGAGTAGAATTTTGAAGTATTTTTACGTGAAAATTTATTATTAAAGTAGCATAAATATGCTTAGTTGTAGTTAAAGGATAGTATTAAAAGAAAAGAGAATTATAATAACTATTGGGGGGAGGGGGGCAGATAGGGTACTCGCCCGGTCTCAATATTTGCCTTCCGCCGGCCCTGCTTCTATGCCCAGGTATATGTGATCAACATTTCTTGTGATTCCTGTAACGTTATTGCAACTAGAGCGCAATCATCAGCGTATTGAAGTTCTGTGATTAATTTTGTACGTGTTTTTGCCCTGAGTCTTTTTATGTTGAACAGACCGCCATCGTATCTGTATCTAATGCCCAATCCTCTCTCCTGCAGTTTGCTGTCCACTATAATGGAGAGCGTTGCCATGAATATGTTGAGTAGGAGAGGCGCTAAGACACATCCTTTCCTAACTCCTGTATTTTGTAACGTGCCAAAATTTCACTAAACTATTTTATTTCTTTTCTTTAATAATTTAACGCTAATTGATATTATTATTAGTCTGAAATATCGATCAGTTCAATTCAGTAAACCAAGTGTTTAAGGTGTAAAATGGCAAAATAATACTTGTCAACAAAAATAAAGCAAAGAAAAAGTAAGTAAATATCAAATTAAAAATATCGATATCGAAATCACAGGTAAGTTAGTAATGCAATCCGCCAGGTAAAAAAAACAAGGTAAATAGAAAATAGAAAAAGATAAATAGAAAAGGCAAATCAACTATATACCAAAACGTATATCAATCAAAAGGTAAGTAAAAATATCAAAGGTAAATCAAAGGTAAATCAAAGATAAATCAATGAAAATAATCAGTATCAATAATAATCAGGAGTCAAGATAATATTAAAAGAAAAAAAAATGAATAAATATTAACCAGCAAGATGAATATAAAATTATTTGGCCCTAAGTCTCTATAGATATATAATAATAATAGATATTAATAGAATTGCCCTTTTTAATGCAATTGCCCTATTTAAATCAATCGAGCCCCACGTTGGGCGCCATAAAATTTGTCACGCGTTTTGGCCTTAGCTCGGCTCTTTTAAATTAAAAAAAAGAAAAAAAAATTTAGAAAAGAAGTAAAAAAAATACGAAGAAGAAAAAAATATTATTAAGTTAGCGATTAAGAAAAATAAATATTTATGGAATTTGCAGGGGTCTAGTCGCGAACAAATTTATGCCCTAGCTCAGAAAATTCGGAGAGTAGGGGCGGGTTAAGAGCGCCACTGACTTTAGACGGAAAAAAAAGTCAGAAATCCCCCAAGGTGTATTTAGGGCCTTACAAGTTCCACAAATACATAAATAAAAAAAAAGTAAATAAATAAACAAAAAAAGTCAAGATCTTAGAGAATTATGTAGACATAGGGCCAAAGGAAATAAAAAAAAATAATGCAAACTGATTAGTTTCAGTACCCTCTATTGAAATATAAAAGGAAAATATAGGAAACAGTAAATAGAAAATACCAAATAGCAAATAGTAAATTAAATAAATCAATAAAAAAAATTGTGCACCAAGAAAAATATATCTCACAATACGCAAGTAACAAAATTACGTAAATACCTAGGTACCTTTCGTGATCACGTAAGATTTACAAAATAAAATATATATGTATATATCAGCGCAACTAAATTCAGCTAAGATATCAAATTAATCAACAAATTAATAAATCAAATAAATAATACTAAACCAATTCACTAATAATAATAATTAATAATATAATTATTAAATAAATAAATCAAAATAATCAACTAATAATTATGAATTCATCAGTTCAAGAAATTTAGATATCGATAAAAAAAATGAATAGATTTAAATTTTAAATAGAGACAAAAAGAAACTGTGTCAGCTGTATTAAATTTCCAAAAAAAAAATTAAAGAAAAAAAATAGACTAATTATGTAGACATCTAGGGCCAAAGGAAATATAAAAAATAATGCAAACTGATTAGTTTCAGTACCCCTCTATTGAAATATAAAAAAGGAAAATATAGGAAACAGTAAATAGAAAATACCAAATAGCAAATAGTAAATTAAATAAATCAATAAAAAATATTATTTTATCAACAGAATTAAGTATGTGAAAATTTATTCTAATTAAATTATAATGTTAAAAATAATTATCTACGTTCAGTATTCGTACGCACCAATGAAATTCAAATCGTAAGATAGGGAAAAAATTAAAAATTGAATTGTACGATACCAAATAGTTGAAAATCTTCTAAATCAAATCAATCTTGGGCAGACACCGTCGGCTGTCAACTGTCAACCGTCGACTGTCAACTCCTCCAGAAAAAGTAAAATGGATACAGCGGAAAAAACTGCTCCAACAAAAAACTGGCTCAGAGAGAGAAGTCTTCAACACAGAAGAAAACTTCTTCGGCCCAGACAAAAAACTTCTTCGGTCCAGACAAAAACTCTTCGGCTCCGACGAAAAACCCTGCTAACTCAGGGTTTTCTACGAATCCTCAGGTGATTAATATTATTTCTTCCCTGGATGGAATGGGGTGCTCAATAAAAAAACCAAGGCTGCTTGGTTGACCCACGTCAGCTTTTGAGGTGAAAATCCGTCACCGGTAAACTGTAGCACCGTCCAAAAACAAAAGGTAAGATAGGATGCTGCAGTAATTTTTGAGGCACACTCGAAAATCCCCACAAGGGTAAAAATCAAAAAACTTGACAAAAAATGACCGAGAGGCCTCTGTACCTCACACTAGCTGAACATAAAGTGACCAAACCAAGGTAGTTCCAAGAAAAACGAAAACCTTTTTGCAACAAAGAAATAGCCAGATAAAAACACGAGCCCTTGATAAAATATGGATTGCCAACCATGAGCTGAATAAAGACATGAAGAAACCAAGTAAACCAAGAATAAATAAATCGTACTTACATGTTAACAACTGAATTGAACTGATCGATATTTCAGACTAATAATAATATCAATTAGCGTTAAATTATTAAAGAAAAGAAATAAAATAGTTTAGTGAAATTTTGGCACGTTACAATTTGTCAGGAAGGGATCGCTCAGTGATCCATTATGGTGACACTCTCGTCTTGTTGTTGTTATGGAGGCTTTTACACACTGTAAGAAATTTGTTGGGTACTCCGAACTTTTTCATAATTGCATCTCTGTTCACAGAGTCGAAGTATTTTAGGTCGATGAATGCAACATGAAGTTTAGACTGCTGCTCTTTTCCTTTTTCCTGTAGTTGGCGGATGGAAAATATGGAATCGACGGTGCCATGATTGGTTGGGTTTGGTAGTGCTAGTCACATTACCTTCCTTGTATATCGAACGGCTCTAGCATGGCAAGCTGTACTTTGCTACTTCCAAGGCGTTAAACGCTATATACGGGAGCTATTATATTATTATAATTTTTTGCTTAAATTTAACACATATTAGATTGTTTTGGTTTAAATCATTTTTGTTGCGATTCTGTTTTTCTTTCTTAATTTTAATACAAATTAGATTATTTTTGGTTTCAACCTTTTTTGTAGCAATTCTGTGTTTCTTTTCTTAATTTTAAAACTAATTTGATTGCTTCGGTTTCAACATATTCATGCGTGATTATCTACATTTTTATTAATATTTGTATGAAGAATCTTTAGAACGTAAAATAGGAAGATGTATTTATGTAACTAATTTCAGTCCTTCTAATGTTAACACTATTTTGTTTCAAGATACAAATGACGTATTTTCGCAAGAAGTTTTTTGTTTATGTTTAGAAAAGTTTTGATCTAACTGATTTCAGTTATTCTAAAGTCGGAAAAAAGAAAATTATGCATTTCTGCAGAAATTTTTTTATGATTTTGTTTTTTTTGGAGGGGAGCTTCATTTTTGTTTATTTTTATAAGTGATTGATTTAACTTGCGTCACTAGTCATTGAAGTTCTGTGATTAATTTTGTACGTGTTTTTGCCCTGAGTCTTTTTATGTTGAACAGACCGCCGTCGTATCTGTATCTAATGCCCAATCCTCTCTCCTGCAGTTTGCTGTCCACTGTAATGGAGAGCATTGCCATGAATATGTTAAATACGAAAGGCGCTAAGACACATCCTTTCCTAACTCCTGTATTTGTTAGGAAGGGATCGCTCAGTGATCCATTATGGTGACACTCTCGTCTTGTTGTTGTTATGGAGGCTTTTACACACTGTAAGAAATTTGTTGGGTACTCCGAACTTTTTCATAATTGCATCTCTGTTCACAGAGTCGAAGGCTTTAGTTGGCGGATGGAAAATATGGAATAGACGGTGCCATGATTGGTTGGGGTTAGGGAAAACCCGTTTGGCGGTTAGCGAAAACCCCTTTGGCGGTTGAAGCGTAGTGCTAGTCACATTACCTTCCTTGTATATCGAACGGCTCTAGCATCGCAAGCTGTTTTTTGCTACTTCCAAGGCGTTAAACGCTATATACGGGAGCTATTATATTATTATAATTTTTTTGCTTAAATTTAACACAAATTAGATTGATTTGGTTTAAATTATTTTTGTTGCGATTCTGTTTTTCTTTCTTAATTTTAATACAAATTAGATTATTTTTGGTTTCAACCTTTTTTGTAGCAATTCTGTGTTTCATTTCTTAATTTTAAAACTAATTTGATAATAATTAACATATTCATGCGTGATTATCTACATTTTTATTAATATTTGTATGAAGAATCTTTAGAACGTAAAATAGAAAGATGTATTTATGTAACTAATTTCAGTCCTTAAGATGAAATTGACGTATTTTCGCAAGAAGTTTTTATAAGTGATTGATTTAACTTGCGTCACTAGTCTATATGATGCTCATATTGACACAAATTCAACCCTACCAAGTTAATTTATATGAAAAATAAAGATCGAATTAAAAACAAATAAATTTTATTTACAGCCGGGTGTTTCCAATAGTTCCGATGATGATGGTATATCCGATCGGTTCAATGGGATCAGAAGTAGCCGATATACATTCATAGTTATCTTGATTTAATTAACATTTTTTTGTCAGATTTTTTTAGTATATCTCCTTAAAACCGAAGTAGTATGTAATAAGCTAATATTGGATAGCATCTAGAATATATATTTAATTAGAAATTGATATTCAAATATATCTCCTTTTAAAACAGAAATACTTTAAGTATTCTGTTACTTAATAGGCGTAAGTAAAAAAAATCAATCCGTCCAAAAAGAAAATATAAAGTTAATATAAAAACTATAATTAAAACTTACATTAAACTGATTGTAAAAAAGTAGCTTAAAGTATCACACTGAAAAATTATATCACTCGTACCAGATTATTACAGACTCACTACTAACAGATTAATTCTTAAATTTTAACAACCAAAAAATGACCTTTGATAATCAAGGTTCAAATTCAAAAAAATATATTTGACTGTCAGCAGTTTTTCACATATTCTCCACGAATATCTTTGAATAACCGTTTTAGAACTGACTCGATATTATTTATAATCAATCAAAATATTTTTTAAATAAAAACAGAAAAAAAAGCAAATCATACATTGATTATCATCATCGGTTTGAGTAGAGGTCGAAACATATCGAATAATGATCTTAGTTGGTGGGGGCGCCGCTGAACCTTGTTGCACAACGACAGTTCTGGTGACAGGTACTCGCTTCCAAGTGCGCTTGCGTCGACTGCTGTGAACCATTTCGAATGTACCACTGTAAAAATATAATTTTTACTGTATTTCATATCTTTTTAACCATTAAGTTCAATTTATTAATTTCATTTATTCAAACACGCCACTGACTCTTTTTTTTAATCTTTCTTGACTTATATTTAGAACAAGAATGATATGAGTATGCATGGTGATATCATTCATTTAACATATTGTAAATCAATTTCTTATAGTTTTAGTTGTTAATGGATCTATTATTATCATTGATAGTCAGTTACATTAAAATAGAATCAGCGGTTGTATCACAACTCAAAGATTTACTGAATTACAAGAAACAATATTGATGTTATAAATTTAGAAGCGAAATATAAAGAAACAAATGGTACGTTACCTGAAATTTGTTTATTAATTATTTAAATTATAAAACCACTAACAATTTAAACAATTAGTAGAAAAAATCAACCAGCAGTTGCACTTTATATCACACAAATTTTTCTGAATGACACCGGCACGAATGTTTCGACCTCTTTGATGTAGAATCGAGTACAGTGTTTATCGTGTTATACTAATTTTATATCAATGGCTTTTAAAAACATATAGAGTAACAGTTTAATTTAAGAAATTGCATCACGCGGTATCATGAACATGAGGAATATATTATAGTGTGGCAGGAATGAACTGAAATAATTTAGTGAACTAGAAATTACTAGAAAATAGAATTAAGAACGTGTTGGGTTAAAACTATACAGGGTGGTTCGAACAACATGTGCTATGTCTCCTGGGGATATTCCTCACGTATTCTATATATATTCAACTTTTTATGGGATCAGAAAGATAGTAATCACCATAACCGGTACATTTTAAATAAGTTATGAGATGAAGTGGCAACAAATTTTCGTAAAGGATATAAAACTTGCCATACTTTCTCGAGTTTTTGAAAACTTATACAGAGCGGACCACCCGTAGTAGTAACATAGGCAGAACCGGACGAATTAGCGTATACCCGTCCGCCTGATAAAAAGCAGGCGAAAAAATGCGATAAAATAAAAATAGGTAGATATGTTATAAGAATGTTTCAGAATTTGTATCTATTCGTGTTTTAATAGCCAAAACGAATACATAGATTCTCGCGACAGTTCTCGTGTAAAATTTGTTTTTTAAGTAAAATAACGGATGCTTACGAAGTTCGTGAGAAAATTCAAATTGTAAAATGGTATTTCCAAAATAGGTCTTATCGGGATATACAAACAATTTTTCCACAAACTTTTGTAAACATGTGCTATGTCTCCTGGGGATATTCCTCACGTATTCTATATATATTCAACTTTTTATGGGATCAGAAAGATAGTAATCACCATAACCGGTACATTTTAAATAAGTTATGAGATGAAGTGGCAACAAATTTTCGTAAAGGATATAAAACTTATAGCCATACTTTCTCGAGTTTTTCAAAACTTATACAGAGCGGACCACCCGTAGTAGTAACATAGGCAGAACCGGACGAATTAGCGTATACGTCAGTTCTCGTGTAAAATTTATTTTTAAGTAAAATAATGGATGCTTACGAAGTTCGTGAGAAAATTCAAATTGTAAAATGGTATTTCCAAAATAGGTCTTATCGGGATATACAAACAATTTTTCCACAAACTTTTGTAAACATGTGCTATGTCTCCTGGGGATATTCCTCACGTATTCTATATATATTCAACTTTTATGGGATCAGAAAGATAGTAATCACCATAACCGGTACATTTTAAATAAGTTATGAGATGAAGTGGCAACAAATTTTCGTAAAGGATATAAAACTTATAGCCATACTTTCTCGAGTTTTTCAAAACTTATACAGAGCGGACCACCCGTAGTAGTAACATAGGCAGAACCGGACGAATTAGCGTATACGTCAGTTCTCGTGTAAAATTTATTTTTTAAGTAAAATAATGGATGCTTACGAAGTTCGTGAGAAAATTCAAATTGTAAAATGGTATTTCCAAAATAGGTCTTATCGGGATATACAAACAATTTTTCCACAAACTTTTGTAAACATGTGCTATGTCTCCTGGGGATATTCCTCACGTATTCTATATATATTCAACTTTTTATGGGATCAGAAAGATAGTAATCACCATAACCGGTACATTTTAAATAAGTTATGAGATGAAGTGGCAACAAATTTTCGTAAAGGATATAAAACTTATAGCCATACTTTCTCGAGTTTTTCAAAACTTATACAGAGCGGACCACCCGTAGTAGTAACATAGGCAGAACCGGACGAATTAGCGTATACGTCAGTTCTCGTGTAAAATTTATTTTTTAAGTAAAATAATGGATGCTTACGAAGTTCGTGAGAAAATTCAAATTGTAAAATGGTATTTCCAAAATAGGTCTTATCGGGATATACAAACAATTTTTCCACAAACTTTTGTAAACATGTGCTATGTCTCCTGGGGATATTCCTCACGTATTCTATATATATTCAACTTTTTATGGGATCAGAAAGATAGTAATCACCATAACCGGTACATTTTAAATAAGTTATGAGATGAAGTGGCAACAAATTTTCGTAAAGGATATAAAACTTATAGCCATACTTTCTCGAGTTTTTCAAAACTTATACAGAGCGGACCACCCGTAGTAGTAACATAGGCAGAACCGGACGAATTAGCGTATACGTCAGTTCTCGTGTAAAATTTATTTTTTAAGTAAAATAATGGATGCTTACGAAGTTCGTGAGAAAATTCAAATTGTAAAATGGTATTTCCAAAATAGGTCTTATCGGGATATACAAACAATTTTTCCACAAACTTTTGTAAACATGTGCTATGTCTCCTGGGGATATTCCTCACGTATTCTATATATATTCAACTTTTTATGGGATCAGAAAGATAGTAATCACCATAACCGGTACATTTTAAATAAGTTATGAGATGAAGTGGCAACAAATTTTCGTAAAGGATATAAAACTTATAGCCATACTTTCTCGAGTTTTTCAAAACTTATACAGAGCGGACCACCCGTAGTAGTAACATAGGCAGAACCGGACGAATTAGCGTATACGTCAGTTCTCGTGTAAAATTTATTTTTTAAGTAAAATAATGGATGCTTACGAAGTTCGTGAGAAAATTCAAATTGTAAAATGGTATTTCCAAAATAGGTCTTATCGGGATATACAAACAATTTACAAACTTTTGTAAACATGTGCTATGTCTCCTGGGGATATTCCTCACGTATTCTATATATATTCAACTTTTTATGGGATCAGAAAGATAGTAATCACCATAACCGGTACATTTTAAATAAGTTATGAGATGAAGTGGCAACAAATTTTCGTAAAGGATATAAAACTTATAGCCATACTTTCTCGAGTTTTTCAAAACTTATACAGAGCGGACCACCCGTAGTAGTAACATAGGCAGAACCGGACGAATTAGCGTATACGTCAGTTCTCGTGTAAAATTTATTTTTAAGTAAAATAATGGATGCTTACGAAGTTCGTGAGAAAATTCAAATTGTAAAATGGTATTTCCAAAATAGGTCTTATCGGGATATACAAACAATTTTTCCACAAACTTTTGTAAACATGTGCTATGTCTCCTGGGGATATTCCTCACGTATTCTATATATATTCAACTTTTATGGGATCAGAAAGATAGTAATCACCATAACCGGTACATTTTAAATAAGTTATGAGATGAAGTGGCAACAAATTTTCGTAAAGGATATAAAACTTATAGCCATACTTTCTCGAGTTTTTCAAAACTTATACAGAGCGGACCACCCGTAGTAGTAACATAGGCAGAACCGGACGAATTAGCGTATACGTCAGTTCTCGTGTAAAATTTATTTTTTAAGTAAAATAATGGATGCTTACGAAGTTCGTGAGAAAATTCAAATTGTAAAATGGTATTTCCAAAATAGGTCTTATCGGGATATACAAACAATTTTTCCACAAACTTTTGTAAACAGACCAATTCCATCTTTGCCTACTATATCAAGAGTTATTAATAATTTTGAAACACATGGGTGCGTGTCCCCACAAAAACGCAAACAGCCTGATGTGTTGATTAATGAAGAACAGGAGTTAAAGCAAGTGTTCATTTGTGCTACCGCGGATCAAAATCCCACGTTTTCAAGTAATCAAGTTACTGAGGTAACAGATTCTTCATCTAGCACGGTTAAAAGAGTCCTTAAAAAGAATGGATACCGATCGTCTAAAGCGCGTCAAGAAATTTTCCATGAAGACCAATTTCGGCGTATGGCGTTTTGTGAATCTGTAATGGAAAAGGCCAATTTAGATGAAAACTTTATTCGGCGTATAGTTTTCACCGACGAATCAAGTTTTCATTTATTGAGTCGTCATAACCCTACACAAGTACGATATTGGTCTCGGGAAAATTTGCACAAATATTTTGAGGTACGCACGCAATATCCTCAAAAGCTAAATGTTTGGGGTGGTTTTGTAGGAGCATATGATTGGTCCATTTTTTATGGAGGGTAATTTAACTGTTGCAAAGTATTTGGACTTGTTACAACAGCAGATTGTGCCTAGAATTCGTGAGTTATTGGGAGAAAGATTCCACAATGTCTGGTTTCAACAAGATGGTTGCCCTGCCCACAATGCTCGTATTGTTCAAGAATATTTGAACAATACTTTTCCCAACCGTTCAATTAGTGGATATGGAACTATTTTGTGGCCCGCTAGATCACCAGATCTTTCTCCCAATGATTTCTTTTTGTGGGGTTATGTAAAATCCTAAGTGTATGGTCATAATAGGGCTAATAATATGGATGAGCTTCAAGTAAAAATTCTAGAGGCTTTCCAAACTATTAGCCCTAATATGTTAGCCAATGTCAGACGAGGATTTTACGACCGTGAATTCTTATCAACAGAAAATTTGATTTTTATATGGAACACCCTGTATATTTTTAAGTAATTGAAAATAATTTAAAATTACCTTTCCAAAAATATAGCATACTTGATATTTTACTCGATTCCTCTTCGAGATATAGAGTTTTTAAAAATTCACCCACTTTGAATAAGTAGGCTTTGAACGGCGCCGACTGTAATGCAAAAATATACTAATTCTGAGTGCAAATAAAACGGAAATAATATTTCCAATGAGAGATGCAGAATTTTATAGCAATTTAAATTTTTTATATCTAGTAGTAATAAAAATTAAGAGCAAACCAAGACATGAGATTTTGCTCATGTCCGTTTTCTGTTATGGACAGACGGGACCGGTCTTGAACATTTCTCCCGGAATTCATTAACTCAGTGGGGGTGAAAGATACCCGCGCATAACCGCTAAATACTTCTAATTCTTGTCTAGATTACACGGGCAATTTTAAAATAAGAACCTTTATCCTTCCGCAATAATAAAAATTCGCTAAGGATAACAGGCACAAGTCCGGCGGCCTCAGGGGCTTCGACGGCCAACTGTTGGGATCTTGGTTAGCAATTCAATTATTATTCTTGAAATTGGCTCCAAAAATTTCCTGATAACTTCAGCGTTCTGAGGAGGTAGGAGGTACCTCGTCTTGCTGGAAAAATATGTTTTTGAGTTCCATTAG